AAAAATTATTTAAAAATAAGACATTGGATCTGTTTGCTCTCTGGCCATCCTATTTTACCTTGTCTACGGGGTAAAAAGAACCAGGTGACAAACAGCAAAAGAAACTCATTTCTACAATGATGAATTAACTGAAAGTTTTACTGAACATAGTCAGATAGTTGCTTGTTTGATGTGTTATTTGTTGTGATATAATTGGTTTGGTTTTCACAATATAATTGCTCCCACTCAAATCGGACCTTTGTGTCCCGCCCTATTCGATAATATTTGGTAGTACTGAATGATTACAATTAATGTGAAATATTAATTATACATCAAAGCTTAATGATAATTAATATTTCACATTAATTATAATCAATGTAAAACATATTTTCCTTTCTACTATTATTTAAATTTGCATGTTTATATGAATTATATATTTCATCTCCATATTACTTTTTCTTTCATAATTGACGATGTGTAATATTTAGGTTATCAAAACACGCTTACGCACTTGATTAAATATACGCACATAAATTTCATAATAATATCCTCATAATAAAACACATCCATCCACAATTGAACAATATAACTTTCAAAAACCCGTATATTCGGCTAACTAATAAGTTGGAAATTTCAATGAAATACTGTCCGCATTGTGCTAATTTCTATGTATGTATGAATATTTTCAGAGTTTGAAATAAAAAAATGAAATCATTTACGAGTTAGAATATTGTGGCGCAGTGGCTCCGGGTTCAAATTTGCGGCTCGGGCAACCTGATATCACGCAATATCGATCTTCATTTTTACTTGAAAATAGATCAATATATGTTGCTAATTGAATGTATCCATTTTTGGCATTGCATCAATAAAACTAGTTGGTATTGGTATTTTGCCTTGAGGCAAGTTACATGAACTTCCCGAAATGAATAAATAATCGATTTAATTAATGAAAAATAAATTAACTTATGAGCAATTAAAAGTATTCCAAGTGGATTTATTACACATAACGAACACGTTAACTCGGAGTATTTTCTAGAAGCACATTTTCAAAAATCAACAATTTTTATAATTGAACCAGTTTCCGCAGGACTTTATGTTCATTAAGACCAAGTACTCTATTGTTATACCAAGTAAGTCGTGTATTTTTAATTTTAACAAACGTCAAAAAACTACTCATTTTCTCAAACTTTGGTGAATTTTTAAAATTAAACTACTTGTCATAAGGCCGTAATATTTCAGTAAGTTCTACAAGATCATGATATATATCAGCAAAAGAAGTTCCATAAAAATCGGTTTAAATTTCTTTTTCAACAATTAATTACAAGAAAACGGTTCGGTAGATTTTCCCCTAAAACTAATCAGTATCATTCTCAACTAATATCTTTCGAAAAGTTTTTGATTTTTTAAAATCGATTCGGTAGTATGAGCTTAAATGTGGACGAAAAGTTTACCACTTTTTTCCAAATTAAAAAGAAACGGCTTGGCAGATCGTCGCACCAAACTGAAGAACGATAGTCCCCATTAAGATACATCAAATGGCTTTCAAATTTCAGAAATCCGTTCAGGCGTTTTTGAGAAAACAGCGATCAAAAATCTAATTTTGACAAATGCCAAAAAAACGATACTAATTTTTGCAATCTTTGACGAATTTTTAAAATTAAACGACTTGTCGTAGGGCCGTAATATTTTAGTATGATCTATAAGACTATGGTATCTACCGTCAATAAAATAATAATAAAAATCGTCTAAAAAAAATTTTAAGCACGTTATTACATGAAAACGACCCGTCATATCTCTACCAAAAACTAATCAGCACGATTCCCAACCAATATCTTTCAAACGGTTTTTGAATTTTCAAAATCGATTCAGAATTGCGAGCTAAAACGTGGACGAAAAATTTGTCACTTTTCTGCTAGTTTTAAGGAAACGGCTTGGCCGATCGTTGCACAAACAATAATCCTCATCAAGGTACATCGAATGGCTTTTAAATTTTTAAAATCGGTCCAGCCGCTTTTGAGAAAACGTCGATTTACAGCAAAAAATCTGTTCGCACATACACACACACAAACTTTTTCCAAATTTGGTCTCATTCGATTCAGAATAGCTTGAAACGTCGAGAAAACATAAAATTAGCAAATCGGATTTTTTGATGAGAACATAAACTTCTCCTTCGGGAAGTTAATGAAGGAAATCTTCACTGTTTAGCAAAGGCGCAACCAATGAGTTGCTCATTAATTAAAAATATATCTCACAGATAAGATACTCATTCTCGACATTACATTAATAACATAAAGTAAATATTAACTGTTAATAAAAGGACAACCAGTGAGTTGCCTTCTAATAAAAAAAAAATATGTTGGTGCCCAGATAGTAGCGGACAAGAAAATTTGCTTTTAAAAAATACTCCGAGTTAATGTGTTCGTTCGTTCGTTATCAATGATGTGTAATAAATCCACTCGGAATACTTTTAATTACTCACAAATTAATTTATTTTTTTATTGATTAAGTCGATTATTTACACATTTCAGGAAGTTCATGTATCTTGCCTCAAGGCAAAATACCATTACCAACTAGTTTGTGTATATTTTGCATCTTTTATTTAGGAAAAATTGTATTTAGGAAATATAAATCATATAGTATATTAGTGTATTTTAAAACGAATATTAAGTTTTAAGATATAAAATTGAACTAGAAATAATTTATTACACACATACAAATATATAAAAATAATATATAAATAAATATATTTATGTAACGCATACACAAATATCAAATTATTTAAAATATAAATGTACAAATATAGTGCTTTACTAAATGTTTTACATGGAATTGTTCAATATACAGAATTTGTTATAAGACGCGCGCTGCGAACACTCGAGCAGTGCTCTGACTGCTCTACTCGCCTTTGCAATTGAGAGACGGCTTACGCATGACTTACGCGGCTGTTCTATGAGCGCGAGCGTGTACTTGCTCAGGTTTTTTCAACTTTTCAATAGACTTCCACATGGACTAAAACTAAATTTTGCATAGCATAAGAAAAACGAATAGCCATTCTAACGATTAAAAATTAGTCCAAACAGCCGCACTACCCGAAAATTTGAAACAAAAAATTATTTTCACTTTTTCATAGACTAATAAATAATTACTTAACAATATTTGTTAATGATAATATAGTCCACAGCGATGTGAATAGTATTGCGTTATTTGTTTGTCGATATCTTTTACAGTACAAAAAACGACTTTGAAAAAAGGGCCACTTTCACATATTTTCAATGATATCTCGGCCAAATGATGAGCTACGGACTTGAAATTTGGTATTTTGAATTTTCTCGAAAATACCTATAAAAATTTCAAAAATGCTTGCTTCAAAATCATTTATATCACTATCAGACCCATCATCACGAAACACGATCAGACCCTTTCCGTCGAGATTTTTTTTTAAATTTTTTTTTGTGTGATGAATTTTTGTATGTTTGTGGCCGTGGCCGTTTTTGCTGGCGGTTGCCATGTTGTTTGGTGCATCGTTTGCTTGCTTGTGGCCGTTTTGTATGGCGGTTGCCATGTTTGTTTAGTGCATTGTTTGCTTGCGCGGCCGTGGCCTAGTGTGTATGGCGGTTGTCATATTGTTTGCTGGTGCTCCCTGTCTGCTGCCGTGGTGCTTATAATTGTCTCACTGTCCAGGGTGTTCGATGTCAGAGTCTCCATTGTAAGTACTAGAACGTGCTGTATTTTTGGGTCACTTGTAAATTATGCACATGTTTTACTTCCTTCTCACTTTTGGCGTTTGTTTCTTTTTATTCACTTTAGGGGTCACCAATTATAGAACATGTGCTTCTATATCAAATGTATTTTAATAACTTCCCGAAGGAGAAGTTTGTTTTCATAAAAAAATCCGATTTGCTAATTTTATGTTTTCTCGACGTTTCAAGCCATTCTGAATCGAATGAGACCTAATTTGAAAAAGTATGTGTGTGTGTGAACAGATTTTTTGCCGTAAATCGACGTTTTCTCAAAAACGCCTGAACCGATTTCAGAAATTTAAAAGCCATTTGATGTATGAGGACTATCGTTCGTCAGTTTTGTGCGACGATCTGCCAAGCCGTTTTTTTGTAATTTGTAAAAAAGTGGTAAACCTTTCGTCCATATTTAAGCTCATACTACCGAATCGATTTTAAAAAATCAAAAACTGTTCGAAAGATATTAGTTGGGAAGGATACTGATTAGTTTTAGGTGAAAATCTACCGAGCCATTTTCTTGTAATTAACTGTTGAAAAAGAAATTTATGCCGATTTTTATGGAACTTTCTAAAATTCATCAAAGTTTGAAAAAATGAGTAGTTTTTGACGTTTGTTAAAGTTAAAATTAGACGATTTACTTGGTATAACAATAGAGTACTTGATCTTAATGAACATACTAAATCATTAAAGTCCTACGGAAACTGGTTCAATTATAAAAATTGTTTATTTTTGAAAATTTGTTTTTAGAAAATACTCCGAGTTAACGTGTTCGTTATGTGTAATACATCCACTCGGAATACTTTTAATCACTTATAAGTTAATTTATTTTTTATTAATTAAATCGATTATTTATACATTTCGGGAAGTTCGTGTAACTTGTCTCAAGGCAAAATACCAATACCAACTAGTTTATAATGAAATAGTAACAACACTATGTTATAAAATGTACATCTCGGCGGACTATTGTAAATTCATTAAATTTACTAAATGTCCTTTACTGGACAGTTGTAAATAAAAGAGTTAATAAAAAAAATAAATAAAATGTACATAATTTTTGAGTATTGAAAATGAAAGGGAAAAGTATTGTAATTTATGATAGAGTAACTTAACTTATAACTCATATTTATCTAAGCTGCACTTTGGTCCTCGCGCAGTGCTGCCAACATGATGAGCCAAAGATAATGTTTAACTGTCAAATTGATGTGCGTTGTGGGTTGCCAGGTCGCTACAGTCTTAAGCGCATTAGACGTCAGATTTGACATTTCATATTTTGGAGCTGTCATGGCTATCTGTCAAATCGTTTGTCATGCTGACAATTTTATAACAAATTTTAATTAAGAAAATTATTTATTTATTTATTTATTTAGCTAAAATTCTATATTCAAATATGTGAATACGTGATTGTGAAGATACATTACAAATTTTTACTTTTTAGTTTTTTATAATAATATATTGAGCATGTTCATAACAAGGAAAAAGTAAATTGATAGTTTCCGTTTGCATTGTTTTCTGCAGTTAATCGTATTTAATATTCTAGTAATGGAAGAAAATGCAAGAGTACCAGTTTTTGTGTTTCCAACAGCTTTAACATTTTATACCAAAAGTAGACAAACTCACAAACAAATTTTATCTCTCTATAACCCATATGAAGTGCCAGTGGAATTTATAGGTAAAAACATATTTTAATTTATATTATTGCAATGTACAACTATCACCATATGCTCTTGTATTCTATGTGTAGTATTATTTAATATTAAACTAGCTGTAAGTGGAATTCTGTCTTAAGGCAATTAGGGCATCGTGCCATAAGGCAAATTGCTGGAACTTCCCGTACCAAAAATTATTATTTTTTTAAAAACGATTAACATTTTTTTGGGAAAAAAAAATTTATATGAAAAAAAATCTTTTTTTTTGAAAAAAAATTTTTTTTTTGGATACAAAAAATTTTTTTGAAAAAAATGTTTTCTTTATTTTGACATATTTTGGAAATTCTGAACTTTTTTTCAAAGCAATCGCACTGCTTGAACTGCTTAGAGACGAAATGTCAAAGCGCGCATGTGCCGCGCCGCCGTCTAACGCATAAGCATTGGTACGGAACCCATAAAAATGTAAAAAAAAAATATACTTATTGTCAAAATCTCTATAAAATATCTGATAATTTGATGTGCATATGTCTAATGATAATTTTTAACCGCCGAACGGCATTATTTTTTACTTTTTTCATTAGATCTCCGAAACCGCTAGACCTACCTCCATGAAAATTTGATCAATTCTACATCTTGTCAATACAAGTAAAATGTTTTTTAAATTATTCAAATCGGACGCTCCGTTCTCTTAAAAACGGAGGTACCGTTCTTGTCACTTTTTGCCCCGTATCTTCGGAACGGCTAGACCTGCCTTTGCCAAAAACTAATCAGCACGTCTCCTTATCAATACGAATCGAATGTTTTTTGAATTATTCAAATCGGTTGATCCGTGTTCCCGAAATCGTCGACGAAAATTTGTATCCGCACATACATACACACACATACATACATACATACATACATACATACATACATACACACACACACACACACACATACATCCATTTTTTCTAAGGTATGCCAAAATGTTCAGAAGGTTTTGAAACGTCGAGAAATGCAAAAATTTTCATTTTCGATTTTTTTGCGATTACTATAACTTACCCTACGGGAAGTTAATTATATGTATTCAAATAAATTTGTAAACAATTTAATCATGTTTTTACATTTGCAGTAAAAAGCACAGCTCCTACGAAATACACTGTTATAGATCCAGAAGGAAGTATTGCTCCACAATCTATTGTGGATATTACTGTGCGCCATTTATGTCCCAATGCTGGTAATAGCTTTGCAAAAGACAGATTTCGTGTGCTGATGAGAGATAAATTAACTAAAAAAGTAATATACCTCAATTATTGTTATCAGACTGTGAACAGATTAATCAAAATTAAAATTTAATTGCAGGTTTTAGGTAAGCGTGATCTTAGGGTAGAACTTGTGAACGGTTTTGAAGAAGAACAGAGTGTATTAGGAGAATCTCATAAAAACTTAGCATATCTTACTCAAAACAATGCTCCAGAAATACCACTAGAAATTTCTCAACATCAGCACATGTATGTTTAAATTTTTATTTCATGAAAATAGATTTTTTTTTTGAGTGAGTATGTTTAAATATTTTCATATAAATGATACAAAAAAATATATTTTTATATTTAAAACAAAAAATATATATATGAGTTTGTTCTGAGTTTGTCTATAAGTGAACGAACAAATCATACATTTTCTCTGTTATGTTTATAACAATGAAAATGTATGAAAAATGTATAAAATGTATTTGTTCGATCACTTATAGACTCAGAACAAACTCGTATATATATTTTCTGTTTTAAATATAAAAATATATTTTTTTGTATTATTACAAGTATTTACTTGTAATTTTTCTTGTTTTGTTATATACTGAATTACTGCATTAATCAACCTTAAAATATCAAGCTTATTAGTATTTTTGGCTCAGAATGATGGAGAGGACTTGAAGGCTCTTAACATTTAGATTTTAAACAAACTTTTATATAATATTTTTTACTCGTTTATTGATTTTATGCTTTACCATTCGAACTGAACCCATAAATCAGATCGTTAATATATATGTATATATACACCTAAGTCTGTTTTTACACAGTCCTTTTGCACACGGTTTTGATATAACACGGTTTGAAAATTGAATATTTTTAATTTTTTTACACGATTTTATTCCATTTAGCACGATTTGAAATTTTATGTACTTAAATTTTTTTTTTGTCAAATTTAATGTTCATATCACAAAAAAGTATTTATGAAAGAAAAAAGTCTGAAACCATCGATAGTATCGATAGTTTGCAAACATTAGCTTAAAGATTTAAGTGAATTTCCCTTTAGCGGGTACAAACAATTTTTACTGGTCAAAGCAAATGTGAATAGCACTTATTTTAGGGAAATTCCCTAAAAATTCTTGTTTTTCACTAATTTTAATAGATTTTAGAGATTAGAAACAAATCACCCATTTTTGTATAAGATCAATGTATTTTTTTACACGTTTTTTTTTTACACGGCTTTTTCTGGAACCAATCTACCGTGTAAAAACAGACTTAGGTGTATATATATCTATATATATATATATATATATATATATATATATATATATATATTAACAAAGTCTAATAATCTGGCATAACATCAATAGAAAACATGAATTTCTTTCAAAAATTTATTTTAAATCCATACGTTTTGGCTATAATCCTAGCCTTCATTCAGTGAAAACTAAAAATAAAATTAAAAACTAAAACAATTGAATTGGAGTGAAAAAAAAATAAAATAAAATAGTAAATAGTACTTACAATTTGTTAATCTTAGTGTTAAATTGGAAAATTTTAATAATCCATGGTATCAGGATATGGTAATGCACTACACTATGTATTATAAACATTAACTTGAAATTATATCAGTTACACCATCTTCAATCAGTCTACGAATAACACACTATCCATTTGTGATTTTTTAAAATTAGTATTTTGTGAAAATATTGTGTAATTTCAAGTTAATGTTCATAATACATAGTGTAGTGCATTACCATATCCTGATACCATGGATTATTAAAATTTTCCAATTTAACACTAAGATTAACAAATTGTTAGTACTATTTACTATTTTTTTTTTTCACTCCAATTCAATTGTTTTAGTTTTTAATTTTATTTTTAGTTTCCACTGAATGAAGGCTAGGATTATAGCCAAAACGTATGGATTTAAAATAAATTTTTGAAAAAAATTCATGTTTTTTATTGATGTTATGCTTGTTTACTAGACTTTGTTAATACATATGTCAACATCAAATTCAGAATCATACAATATATATATATATATATATATATATATATATATATATATTATATGGTAGAGTCTTGGATTTCTAAGTATTTTGTAGAATCCAAAAAGTAATAAAAAAACATTTTTTTTTAAAAAACGATTTCTTTATTTACTGTTGACGTTTTGGAACTAGGTACGTTCTATATTCAGGACATCTGTCAAGAAACATGATCTTGATAAGATTTAAGCAAACAATAGGTTTAAGAAAAGTATAAGATGATGGATTCTTTAAATTAATAAAATTGTTGAAAAAATAATGTACAGAAATATAACAATATAATCAAAATGAAAATTATAAAAATAAATGAGTGGATTAACAACATGCACACACTTTTCAAGTGGCAAGTGTTCAAAAATCCTTGAATGCAATAATCAGTCTGTTACAAATAGTCGTGTCATGACATTGAGAGAATAATACTTTTTGTCTTAAATAACAAACTCAAAAAAGACATAATTTAAAGAAATTTTGATTAAAAAATTTATCTGAACAGAAATTTATATTTTAATTTTTTTTTTTTGATGAAATATTTTTTAGTGAAAAGGTGTTAGTGTATATTCAATCATACAGGCAATTATGTTCTTTTTTCACTAACCTTTTCTTGAAACTTTCTAAAACTCTCCAATTTTTAACATTTTGAATATTTTTATTATATAATCCACTCATTTATTTTTATCATTTTCATTTTGATTATATTTTAATATTTCTTTCTGACATTATTTTTTCAACTATTTTATTAATTTAAAAAATTATCTTATACTTTTCTTAAACATACTGTTTGCTTAATTCTTATCAAGATCATGTTTCTTGACAGATGTCCTGAAGATGAAACGTACCTAGTTCCGAAACGTCGACAGTAAATAAATAAAAAAATGTTTTTTTTAAAAAAAAAGTTTTTTTTTAATTTCTTTTTTGGATTCTTTGTTCGAAGCTCTACATATATATATATATATATATATATATATATATATATTGTAGTGTATATGTGTGTCTATTGATTAAATAAAATAATGTATAGCAGGTATCCATCCAGATAATGAAATAAAAAAAACTAAAATATGTTTCTTAAAATAATTTCAATAGATTCATATGACTCAAATCCCAATTTGACTATTCCTCAGTGCAACAAAACTACAAAAAATGACATAAGAAAAATATGTAAATTTATCTTAAAATAAGTAAAAACTGGAGTTGAAAAATTACACATTAGTGAAGCTAACATAAAAATATTTAGTCTAAGAATGAAATGAAATAAGATACAAGATTATACTACACAAGTTATCAAGACACAAACACAAATAAAAACATGATCAATGAAAATATTATTTCACAACAACCATGTTTTGAATAAGTAATTCGAAAAAGAAATAAGCTAAAATAATATTTTCAATAATGCCTCAGATTTTTCTTATGTCATTTTTTTTTAGTAAGAGCGAAATTCACACTCGAAGCATATGGATGTACTAAAATTATTTTAAGAAACATATTTTAGTTTTCTTTCTATTTCATTATCTGGATGGATGCCTGTTTAAAATTATTTTATTTAATCAACATATTTATCTATAAATATTTGATTTTAATCTGTTTGTATTTTAATACTACACTGCACACACATATTTAAATAAAAATATAACATTGTCTACTTTCAATGTAATTATTACTTCAGACCAAAGCAGCCGAGTTGGCTAGTGGCATGCATTGGCCTCTTATGCATATTTGGCTTATTTCTTCCAACTGATGTCAGTTCTGAAACAGTCAATTTTTTTCTACCTGCTGTAAAGCTAAGTGTTAGTATAAAACTCATCCTCTCATTTGTGCTGGGTATGATAACAATGACAGTACTGAGGCCCTAATGAAGAAGGCTTGCCATTTAAGAAATGTATAGTTTATTCTTGTGTATATATTTTAATTATTTTACATATTGTGTATTTAGCACATATATATTTATAAAATACTGTATATATATAATGTAGGGAAGTTATATAGAAATCATGTGCTTAAATAGTTTTTTTATATTTATATTAATAGAAATCTTTTTAGCCATTTTTTACTATTTTGTATACAATGTTCTTCTAAAAATAATATTTATTGACCAAATTATGGCGTATATTCAATTTTAATTGTACAATTATATAAAAATAAATTATTTAATGACATTTCTGTTTCAAATGATTGTTATTAGAAAACTTGGAAGCTTATTTTTAAAAAGCAAAATTACTAAATTTATAGTTAATCTTTTTTTATAGTTATTTATATTGTTATATAATATCTTGAAGTGCTAATCAGTATTGACGAACAAAGACTTTACATGTAATACAGTTTTATGACCACTACTTTGAGTGCAGATATGTGAGTAATACAATGTAACAAGAATTTCTAGGAAATCTCAATAGAATATTTTGTGCAGTTGGTGTGGTATTTTAATAAATCGTTGTAAGCAACATTGTTAGAAATGAATAATATTAATACACGTGTACATGGATATACTACAATATAAGAAAGTAATATTCAAGTATATTGCGTATTGGTATATTTACCGTTAATAATAATAAACGGCGCATGGCATCGTGCCTTAAGCCAGGTTGCTGGAACTCTTTGTACCAGAAATAAACTTTTTAAAGAAGCTTTAAAATTTTTTTGAAAATCTTGAAAAAAATCGATTATTGAGACTTGTAATTTTTGAAAAATTTGATTTAATTTTATTTTTTTTGAAATTATAATTTTTTTTTCAAGGTTAATCGCGCTGCGTAGCTGCTTTAGAGACGACATATCGAAGCGCCGCGTCGCTGTCTGTGGTGTGGAACCCATGGAAATGTAAACAAAATTTGTACTTATTATTAAAAAGCAAAATTAATACATTTATAGTTAATCTTGTTTTGTCATTTTTACAATTTGCTTTCCAAGCGCATCTTGAATTAGACCCAAAAAGCTAATATCGACGAAGTTTGCAATAGCGCTACTTAGCTGTTTTAGAGACGGATAAACATTGGTACGGAATCCATAGAAATATAAACAAAATTTGTATTTATTATTGAAATCTTTATAAAATATCTGATGATTTGGTGTGCATATATCTAATGATCAAACAAAACCGCTTGACATGTCTTTTCAAACATTCAATAAGTTCTTTATTTCGTCAATACAAATAAAATGTGTATGTTTTGAATTAACCAAATTGAATGCTCGACGGTGTTGCCGAAAAGTTTTTTATCAATAACTTTTTTGTCAATGATATTTTTCAAAAAAATATTTTTAATGGACTATAGTCTTTGATTATTTGGGGAGAGTTTTGGACAAAAATTTTGGGAAAACATGGTCTTTGATTTTTTGAGAAAAAAATTTTGGGGAAAAAAATTTAGAAAAAAAATTGGGAAAAAATTTTTTCGAAAAAAATATTTACTTTGATTTTTGGTAAATTTTTAACTCCAAAATTTTTCCGTAAAATTTACTTTCTTAATTTTTTCCCAAAAAATCAAAAACTATATATAGTCCATGATTTTTCTCCAAATTTTTTTCCCAAAAAATCAAGAATTGTACCCATGGTTTTTCTCCAAAATATTTTTTCCAAAAAATCAGATTATATATAGTCCATGGTTTTTCCCTCACAGAAAATATGAATGTGTGTGTGTGCGCGGACACATATTTTTTTGTTGACGATTTCAGTCTCACGGATCAACCGATTTGGATGTTTCAAAAACCATTCGATTCCTATTGATAGGGAGATGTGCTGATTAGTTTTTGGCAAAGGCAGGTCCAGCTGTTTTGGAGATACGGAGTAAAGAATGCAGAAAATATGAATGGGGTTTTCGAGGGAACGGGTCATCCGATTTGAATGATCGAAAAAATATTCAATTCGTAATGCCAGGGAGAATTAGTGATTAGTAGTGATAAAGGTAGGTCTAGCCGTTTCGGAGATACGGATCTAAATGTGCATAAAGTGGCAGTTTTCCCTCCACCCACCTACCAAAATGAATTGAATTATTAATTGACAAAAAATTTTTGGGGAAAAAATTTTTGGAAAAAAAATTTTTTGGGAAAAAAAATTGTTCAAAAAATTTTTGGAAAAAAATTTGGGAAAGAAATTTGAGAAAAAAAATTTTTTGGAAAAAAATTTTAGGAAAAAAAATTGTTCAAAATTTTTTTTGACCAAATTTTTTTTCTTAAAACTTTTTTGACCAAAATTTTTTGACCAAAAATTTTTTTGATCAAAAATTTTTTGGGCCAAAATTTTTTTGACCATAATTTTTTGGGCCAAAATTTTTTTGACCAAAATTTTTTTGACCAAAATTTTTTTTGACTAAAAATTTTTTAGGCCAAAATTTTTTTGAAGAAAAATTTTTTTGGGCCAAATTTTTTTTGACCAGAATTTTTTTTACCAAAAATTTTTTGGCCAAAATTTTTTTGACCAAATTTTTTTTGACCAAAATTTTTTTGACCAAAATTTTTTTGACCAAAAGTTTTTTTTCCAAAATTTTTTTCCCAAAATTTTTTTGACCAAATTTTTTTGGGCCAAAATTTTTTTGACCAAAATTTTTTGGACCAAATTTTTTTTGACCAAAATTTTTTTGACTAATAATTTTTTTCCCAAAATTTTTTGGTCCAAAATTTTTTTGATCAAAATTTTTTTTGACAAGAATTTTTTTGACCAAAAATTTTTTGGACCAAATTTTTTTTTGGCCAAAAATTTTTTTGACCAAAAATTTTTTTGACCAAAATTTTTTTGGCCAAAATTTTTTGGACCAAAATTTTTTTGACCAAATTTTTTTTGACCAAAAATTTTTCTGACCAAGATTTTTTTGACCAAATTTTTTTTGTCCAAAGTTTTTTTGACCAAAACTTTTTTGGGCCAAAATTTTTTTGACCAAAATTTTTCTGATTAAAATTTTTTTGGCCAAATTTTTTTTGACCAAAAACTTTTTTTCAGATATTCCGATATTCCGACATTCCGATATTCCGACATTCCGATATTCCGATTTTTTTGACCAAATTTTTTTGACCAATTTTTTTTTGACCAAAATTTTTTGGACTAAAATTTTTTTGACCAAAAATTTTTTTGACCAAAATTTTTTGGACCCAATTTTTTTTGACCAAAATTTTTCTGACTAAAATTTTTTTGACCAAATATTTTTTTACCAAAAACTTTTTTTCAGATATTCCGATATTCCGACACTCTGACACTCGATACTCCGACACTCCGATACTCCGATACTAAGACATTTCGATACTCCGATACTCCGACACTTCGATATTCCGACATTCCAATACTCCGATATTCCGATACTCCGACATTCCGATACTCTGACACTCCGATACTCCGACATTCCGATACTCCGACATTCCGATAATCCGACATTCCGATAATCCGACATTTCGACACTTCGATATTCCGACATTCCGATACTCCGACATTCCGATACTCCGACATTCCGATACTCCGACATTCCGATACTCCGACATTCCGATACTCCGACATTCCGATAATCCCATATTCCGATAATCCGATATTTCGACATTCCGATACTCCTACATTCCGATAATCCGACATTCCGATAATCCGACATTCCGATAATCCGACATTCTGATAATCCGACATTCCGATAATCCGACATTCCGATAATCCGACATTCCGATAATCCGACATTTCGACACTTTGATATACCGAGATTCCGATACTCCGACATTCCGATAATCCGACATTCCGATACTCCAACACTCCGATACTCCGACACTTCGATATTTTGACATTTCGATACTCCGACATTCCGATAATCCGACAGTCCGATAATCCGACGTTCCGAAAATCCGACATTTCGGCACTTCGATATTCCGACATTCCGATACTCCGACGTTTCGATACTCCGACATTCCGATACTCCGACACTCCGATACTCCGACACTTTGATATTCCGACATTCCAATACTCCGACATTCCGATAATCCGACAGTTCGACACTTCGATATTCCGACATTCCGATACTCCGACATTCCGATACTCCGACACTCCGATACTCCGACACTTCGATATTCCGAAGTTTTTTGGGCCAAAATTTTTTTGACCAAAATTTTTTTGACCAAAAGTTTTTTTTCCAAAATTTTTTTCCCAAAATTTTTTTGACCAAATTTTTTTGGGCCAAAATTTTTTTGACCAAAATTTTTTGGACCAAATTTTTTTTGACCAAAATTTTTTTGACTAATAATTTTTTTCCCAAAATTTTTTGGTCCAAAATTTTTTTGATCAAAATTTTTTTTGACAAGAATTTTTTTGACCAAAAATTTTTTGGACGAAATTTTTTTTTGGCCAAAAATTTTTTTGACCAAAAATTTTTTTGGCCAAAATTTTTTGGACCAAAATTTTTTTGACCAAATTTTTTTTGACCAAAAATTTTTCTGACCAAGATTTTTTTGACCAAATTTTTTTTGTCCAAAGTTTTTTTGACCAAAACTTTTTTGGGCCAAAATTTTTTTGACCAAAATTTTTCTGATTAAAATTTTTTTGACCAAATTTTTTTTGACCAAAAACTTTTTTTCAGATATTCCGATATTCCGACATTCCGATATTCCGATTTTTTTGACCAAATTTTTTTGACCAATTTTTTTGACCAAAATTTTTTGGACTAAAATTTTTTTGACCAAAAATTTTTTTGACCAAAATTTTTTGGACCCAATTTTTTTTGACCAAAATTTTTCTGACTAAAATTTTTTTGACCAAATATTTTTTTACCAAAAACTTTTTTTCAGATATTCCGATATTCCGACACTCTGACACTCGATACTCCGACACTCCGATACTCCGATACTAAGACATTTCGATACTCCGATACTCCGACACTTCGATACTCCGATATTCCGATACTCCGACATTCCGATACTCTGACACTCCGATACTCCGACATTCCGATACTCCGACATTCCGATACTCCGACATTCCGATAATCCGACATTCCGATAATCCGACATTTCGACACTTCGATATTCCGTCATTCCGATACTCCGACATTCCGATACTCCGACATTCCGATACTCCGACATTCCGATAATCCCATATTCCGATAATCCGATATTTCGACATTCCG